AAATAAAAATATTTTTAAGTACTTAAGTAAAAATTGCATGAGAAATTTATTTTTGTTGCTTAAGAATTTGTAAATTTTTTTTTTTTTTAATTTTGATAAATTGTAGGGTTCAGTATTGACTATATTATAATTTATCAAACCATTAAAAATATTGAACCTCACAGGTACACATTATACGTCATATTAAATTAGACAGTGTATATAAATAATTAATAAAATAGGTATTGTTATTGTTATTATTTAATTATAACTCTCTTAATATTGACTATATAAATACATAATTTAAACACGTATGTTGTACTTGATGAAATCCCTCTTATAATTTCAAATATTTTTTCTATGCTAATTAATATAAATAATTGTACGAGTATTATTAATTGGTATTTATATAACAAATGATAGTTATTATAAATTGACTAATAGAGTATGAATTTTTCATAAATTCTAAACAATTGCCAGTTAATTTCACTTTTTAACTAAAAAATAATAGTTATATATTAAAATAAACATTTTGTTTCTGTTAACAATTTTAATTTTTCTGAAATAATTATTTTTTCATAACTTTTTAATTCTCCAATTTTTTCGGCACTTTGATGCTTAATTTTATTACAAAATATTATTCTATGATAATTTTTGTTGAAAATTTGGGAATTTTTAATATCATCATAAACTTTATTTTATTAGAAATTTCTCCTTTCCATATAAAACAATCTAAATATTTGATTGGTAGGTACTTTGTGTAATGTACATGCAATTATGTTTTTTTTTTTAGAAACACTGGCGAATTCCACTTACCTTAAATCACAAAAGTTACAAACATTGCATGAAAATATGTAAAAATAATGTTTTCAGTTTAAAAAATATTAAATGTTTTATGTTTCAGTTTTAGTTTTTATCGTTTTCTACGATATTGGTATCTATAACACAAAAACAATGGTAATCTTAGTGTGCTCAGTTTGTAAAAAAGATTAAATTCATTTATTATTATAGTTATTCAGTTTTTAGTTTCTTAAGGCGGAAGTCTGAAGATAGTGATTAAGGATTTTACAAGCATGACGACGATGGTATGTGTGTGCGTATGTGCCTTTTTCTTAAAGTTGAAACTTACTGCGACAGGAAACGTGATGAATAAGTTCAGCAATTCGTCGATTTTATATAGATACCTATACTAACTGTTTGAACACAGATGTTATACTTTAGAAAGGTGTTTGAATTTTATGAAATCTAGTTGTGAAAACCATAGCAGTAAAATATATAAACAAGCATAGGTTTGTACTCGCGAATGCCGAAAAGCTAAACGAATTTCGTTCTCTTAACAACGCTGACAATTTTTTGAAAGTTTCCAAACAAATTGATAACTTAACATTTTTTTATTTAAGACCTTACACCAATTTTCGCTTCAGTTTTTTTTTTTTTTACCAATTATTGAAAAAAAAAAAATTGAAAGTTATTTTCACGAATTCTATGGCCATTAAAGTACTCTCCCCAACATTAATCTAGCTCTGTGTCTATGATTTTCGATCTGCCGGGAATTTTTACAGAAATTTGTGAGTTTGGAACATATAATACAGTAAAGTATAAAACATTAGTTGTTTTCGTTTTATACCGTGTACAATTTTTCTTTTTCTTTTTTTTGACTGCAACTGAACACTATTTATTGGGTAAAATAATTGTTGATTGAACTTTTAATCATCATTTTATATATATCTTATATTAATAACTTAAGATACATTTGTTAATATGCTATATTAATTAGGTACAAGTTCATCTTTATTATTTATTAATAAAATTACATTAATATTTATAATACCAAAAAATAATTTATTTTGTTTTTATTTTATTCTAAATTTAGGAAACTTCAACAAATTGTGATTTGAAAATGTATTATATTAATTTATAAGTTTAAATTCCTACTCATTAAACTTCAAAATATACAGTATTATCATTAGTACAATAAACTTAAAAAAAAAAAAATGTCGTTATAAAGTTGTATACGTTTCGTCATTTTATACGTTTTATTATATGTAGAGTATTACATTTGTAACGCATAAAATGTTTTATACTCATATATTACCAACCCTGGAAATTTGTATTCCTTATTATGCAATAAAATGCATAAGTATATCAGTATGTGTTGTACGTGTGAAGATCGATGGACTTCAATAGATACACTACTGCATTACACGTCGAAGATAAAAAATAAGTTTAATACAGGTAATTCAATTTGTGTTGTAATAGGCAAGAATTCTAAGGTGGCACGCTATTTAGTAACCAATTTTCATTTTTAGTTTTTTAGTTTATCGGTTTTACTATGTGTGTTTTTTTTAAGTGCGAGTCTATAAACAACTTAAAAAATATTACAAAAAGACAATAAAAAAGTCATTTTTTATTTTATTAAATTTTGTTTCCTTTTAATGAAGTTTACATGCTATTTTTTATAAAGTTTTTATAATAATTGAGGAAAACCAGAACAAAAAAATTAGTTTACACTAAAATGTTAACGAAAATGGTAGAAATTACAGAATTCCATAACATTTTTAGCCGAACCTTGATTATAATCGTATTTTGTCAAAATTGATTTATCTTTACATACATATAAGTTAAATAAATAACCTAATGTATTCAATATTCACGACTTTCTACCTACAATAGTGGCACCATATTAATTAGTAGTAATAGCTGTTTTTTTTCTTCAGATTTTGAGCGAAGCGAGAAACGTATTTATTTTACAGTATTAGGCGTTCTTTTTTTATTATTCTTCGTTCCGTCGGCAAACAACTTTACTACACGAAATGTATTAATCCGATCATCAACATTAAATTCAGTTTATGGTAGAAAATGTTATTTATTCAGTGAATTGGAGAGTAAAATGTTTTAATGTTTATCTAGTTTATTTAATAATCGATAATGACTGGCAATATGTATGTATGCAATATGTAATAATATTAGTTTCCAGTTTTTATGATTTTTATTTTTTTTTGTAATACAGTTTATAAATAATCGTGTTTTTGTTAAAAATATGATTCATCGTCACGTACATATATTAATAACTTAAATTACGCTTTGTTAAAATATATATTTGTTACCTTATCTTCCTGACTTTTCGTCTAAAACTATAGCTGTTCTTCAGGAGTATCAACTCTTTTTTTCCATTCGAAGTAATTCCATTTTAATGCCTATATACCTTTAAATTTTCGCGTAATAAAACGATTTTAGTCGCACACAGACTACATAATACGTTATTATTATGATATTACTATAATATATGGCGTACAAGTTAATAACTGCAATATTATATTATGCGGTACGGATATTACGTTTTCCGTCCATACGGATTTTAATCATAATATTGTTCGCGAACATTGCTTTAGATTAATTTCGTATACGTTGTGATGCCGTACGAAATATTCACCGGAGTAGAAAATAAAACGCCCAGTTTATAATGCAATAATATTACATCGACGGCGGTGCGTATAAAACTACGTGATGTTATTATATACGATGCAAAATATGAGATACACATAACGTAAGCTGCATGCATATTGTAAGTATACAATGTTTTTTCTTTTTAGTTTTATGACATGTAACCTGCAGAACAAAACGTAATAAGTAAGTACCTGCACTATCTATATATATATATATATATAAGTTTTAGACGGTTTAAACGTAAAACTCCTTATTACAATGTTCAGACATGAAAGTGGTATCCTACCACTTTACATTTTGTAGACTTATTTCGTTCTTCATACTATTGTACTGTCTTATTTAGGTGTAATACTACCTTAAATGTCTTAGCAAGTAGGTACTATATTTTACAACTGGTGGTAGTTAGGTATCCAATATCATATAATAATATGAGCACTTACGTTTTTAAATCTGGTAACTTAGAAAGATTTACTTTGTATATGTACTTAATTAAATTATAGGTGAGAGTTCTTGTCTTCCCGGGACACCCACCACCATTTAAATTGAGACACGTGTATCAAATAATGTTCTTCACCACGCTTCTGGTTGTAGTTACTAGGTACATATAGAGAGTGGTGACGCACGAGTCTTGGGTTATTCTTTTGTTAAACAAATATAAGTGTGGCTTGAACAGCTAGGCGAATGTTAACTTGGTAGGACGACTTAAACAGCAACAAAAGGCGATTTATTTTTAATTATAACAATATAATGCGTTTATATAATTTAAAAAGGAGATGTGGAGCTTTTTATCAGTAAATGGGAGGATAGGTCAAATAATTTTGCCAGACTCACTCATGTTGTATGATCGTGCCGTCAAAGTGAATATGTTGGTAACTGCTGTTTGCTATTTTATTATTTTTTTTTTTTATTTTCTGCACTTGTATCCTTATATTATATATATATAGCTGCTGCTGGTCTACATTATAATTTATATAATAGTACAGTTAAGAGGATATCGGTTAACTTTTTATCTTTTTTCCACATCATCATCAAAAGAACAATACTAGCGCCATTGTGAAAATGGTTATTAAAAAAAAACCTGCGATTGAAAAAAAAGTAGTTTCAATGAAAAAGTTACAAATACACTTGATTTTTTAAAACGTAGATTTAAAAAAAAAAATTGAACACACAAACATTGAACACAATATATATATATATATACTTTTTATTTCTTTTAATTGGAAGTGGTTATAGCTTTTTTTTTTCATGATACAATTTAGGTTCTTATGAAAATGGAAAATAAATGTTTAATTAAATAAGTTCATTGATTAAAATATATTTAGTTAAAACTATATAATATATTATACACTGTGATCAATTTTCACAATATTTTATTTCTAAATAAACCCATGGTTCAATTATAACTATACGGTGCAGTGCCTTCAAATTAGTTCGAATTTAAAATATCTAACTTCAAATATTTTCAAATAAAATGGTTACAATTTAATTTAAAAAATCAATTTTAAAGATGTTCGATATTTATTAAAGTTTGGTTTGAAGCGCTATAAAATTGATCTTTATTTAGACTATGTTATTTGGTTTTACGTTAAAAATGTATAATGTAAAAATCTGGACGAATGCAGCTAAGGAGGTTCTAGTTTTTTTATTTTCAAAGGTTTAATAATTGGGAAATTTACCTGGTAGATACGTCCGAATCATGTAAATGTGTGTGTGTAAATTAATATTTGTGTATACGTGTATAGAGGTACAGTTACAAGTTCTATTAGATTCAATACATATTATGTATTATTGATTATTGTTTGGCTTGCATGGGTGCCTACATATAACTATATGAACGGTGAACAATATAATATTTAATCAATCTTGGTCAACTTGGCAAATATTCCAACTTTAAACTGCAGGCATTTACAGTTCTAAACAGGTATGGCCAAGATTTGTACGGATTTTAAAATATAAAATTCCATATTTGTTGACTTTTAAATTTTAAGTTTTTACGAATTCCCCTCTCTGAACCAAAATTAGTAAAAAAAATGAACTAAAACAGTCTTTCTAATTGATAGTGAAATGAACACAGAGAAGTCAAGTGTTCCAACCTTATTTTTTAAGTCTCAAATATCATTGTCTCTATTGGTATCTAAACACCTTTATTTGTTTTTTTTTTGACCAAATTATAAAGACTTTGTTATTGCCATTTTGGTTATGGAATCTTAATAAATTGGATCATTTAGGATATGGCGTATTATTTCAATTAGAGATATTAATTAATGGATGATATTTATAACCACGGGATATTTGATAGGGATAATCAATTCGTATAGAGTTATAAATTACTATATAACAAGATATAGTTTTGAAGACTATCGTTCTCGAATAAAGTTTAAATATCGATTTACCATAATAATATTCTGGTATACCAGAAAACTATCGTTAAAAAAAAAAAATTAAAATAAATTAAACGCATAATATGATACTGTCGAAGATTAATATTGCTCCGATATCGATTTAACACTATATTCAGACCCTTTTTTTACAAATATAAAATATATATTATATATTTATATATAGTATTACGATCTATATCAACGCCTAATGGATATACGATATATTGAAGATTATATTATAATATTGTGTACCTAGTCGGAAATCAAACCCACCACTCTACTTTAATAGCGGTATAATAGTACATAGCAATCCATCATTTTTGCACATGTCATCATCATCATATTATTATTATTATACGCTCTTGTGAGAACCTTTTACCATTCTTTCAGTTTTGTCTCGAGATTATTTATTTTTATTATTTAAAACAAAACATAATTGAAAAAAAAATTGTATTTTATTTTAACTCGCTATAACTAATCTAACCAACAACACAACGACGCTATACTGTTACCGTATAACTCCACTGGGAAATCAAAATAGTTCGAAAAAAAAAACATCCACATTTGCACTCGTATTTATATGGATAGAATATAGAATGAACGAAAAAAAAATACAATAATAATTGTATAAGGACGATACAAAATTAATTTTGTTAAACAATAAAAACAAAATTTAATGATACAGAGTATTAAAGATTGCGGATACAGATATATTCCAAAAACTCAAAAAAAAAAAAAATTATCTTTTTTTATAATTATTTTTATTTATTTTTTTTATAATTTAAGAAACTGGTGGATTTAAAATGTTTACATATTAATTTTTTGTGCAATATTTTATTTTGGAAATGAATCGACTACTTACCAATAGGTAAGGTTCAATATTTATAATAATTAGTTTTGAATTTATATTAGAAATTCTATATATATAAAAAAAAAAGAATTAGTTAAAATAATTTTCGTTGATGAAATTTTTATTGTCGTCAACCAATTGATGAGACATTCCACTTTTAAATTTGGTTCAGGGGAGAACAATGCAGCACTATTCAAACGTCGCGCACAGTTTCACCAGACAAATGGCGATCCACTACTCTCTTCTTAAAACCGTAATAAAACACTTTAAAGCTATACTTGTATCTTACATTAAGAAAAAAAAAATAATAAATACTTTCTGAGATATCGCAATCGGTATGTTCGCGGGGCACCTGTATAATATAAGTTAGGTATTTACTCAAAATATTGTAAAATATCTTTTGAGACGGGCGAAACAAACCATAGTAGAAATATTATTATTTTTACTATTTATATATATATATATATATAAAACAAGTGTTGCGATATTATTGTTTTGTAAAATAGTATTTTTTTTCCTGTTGAGACCAAATTTTTAAATTTTTTAAATTATCCAATAAAAAACGATTTACTGAAAGTTATTTTTAATTATGTTTTCTGCATGATGCATTTGCCTGTAATAAAACGTAAAAATTATCGCGTAGTAGAAATTCACAGAATATAAGTATTATTGTTATATTTTTATTAGATATTTTATGTTACTTCGATATATTTTTTTTCAAACAAAAAACTATATAAATGCGTATAGTATAGTGTAGTATTGTATATTTTATTACATGTTTTTATAACAAAAAAAAATAGATAAATAAATAAATACATAAACATACAATATACATACAGCACATTTATTTCTTATTGAAAATCCGAACAGTTTTTATTTGAGTAAATAATAACGATAAAACTGCAGTGTACAGGTATGGTACAATTTTCAAAACTCAATATTTTATATTGGAGTACAGACGTGAATGTTTCTATGTTATCGAATTAAAATCAACGTAATTCGGTTATAAACAACAATAACGACGAAAAAAAATAAAATATTATGGGCGGATGAAAATATCCGCAAGTAAGTCGATAAAAAATAATAATTTTTCACGTATTTTATGCGATCGTTTTCATACATACATCCAATATGGTAGTATAGGTAGTTCTCTACTTTAAAACAAATAAGGCCGGCGATAAACTATAGACAGTTTGATAAATTTTAAAATATGATATAGTACGAATATGGAAAGTGTACGAGCAATAATAGAATAAATAAAATATAAACTTATAATATAGAAAATAATAAAAAAAAAAAAATCATCGAACTATTGGCCTGAGTTATAATTGTTTATGGCTAAATGTTTGTATATCTGATCTGCTCGTTTAAATTTCAATAAAATGCCATAGTCCTCGGTGTAGATATGTATAGGAACCGGAAGACGAAGATGAGAAAAAAAACCGTTCCTCGAGTATTTTTCGAATATACACGACAGACAAAAGCCATCAGCCGCCGCCGGAATATCGTTTGCTATCGTATTATTATGTTTTCCATGTAAGGTGTATTATATGCGTATTTTTTTTTTATGTTAGGGGGAGTGGAAAGAAATGGGGAATCCAACCGCTACACGATTGAAACATCAGTTCGGTTCTCATCGCAGTTGTATTCCTATGCAAATTTTACTGTCTCTCTATCTCACTCTCTATCTCTCTCTCTCACTATCTTTCGAGTTTTATCTGCGACGGTGACAACGATGTTGTCATTCAATCGGCATTTTATTTCAATTATCCTCGTCTCCCTCCCATACTACTTTATATAGTACACATATATGTACCGATTCTTTAATAAATAGCGCACACTATACAGCTGTATTATGCAACGGACAATATATATTTCGAATTACTTGCAAAGCTCAAACACATTATTTCGTCAATACAGTAAGTTTCGCGTACAAATTGAACGCCATTCCGTATTTATAGTCAACAAGGTGATAGTTAGTGATAGTTTTGTGTAGAATATGAATTTTACTCAAGCAGTTGACTGAATCGAATAGAATAGTGTTTATGTTTTATATTGTTAACTAAATAAATAGAGATAGAAAAACATAAAAAATATAGTATAATTTATTTGATTTTTATTTGTGCGCTACTGTATAACCATTGTTCACGAAATTAATTAATGATTTGGAGCCAAGTTCGGTTATATATGTTTTGAAATATAAATATTATGATTTTCGAAAAATTTGATCATAAAACGCTTAAAAGAAACTAAATTAAACTTATAATTATCCTCGTATTATATTTTTAAAATTTCTGTACGGTTTGGAATTTGTTATTTACATTAAACCAAATAAAACCTGAAAAACTAAAATTCTTAAATGATTATAAATATCTCAAAAATATTTAATCACGCATAGAAAGAACTATTATGAATTTTGAGAAAATTTCAGGTTTCAGCGATTATTTTAAATCGAATAACTTAAAAACAAACGCTATCCTAGAATAATGGAGACAAGTGCAGCCATTATTATACATAATTTAATGTATACTTGTAAACAATGACAATCCATGGCTAATGAAAAAAAGATTTTGGGATGGAGTTTAATAATATTGATGTTTTGATAACAGTAAGTTTACTATATAGTAAAATTATTAAAAAGACATTAAATATATATTTTGTATTATAATATTTGTTTAATGTAATACCGATTTTCCGTTTATCCTACACTTGTATCGGTTTTTCACATTGATTGTGAAAACTCTTGGAAAAATCGAAAAAGTAACTGTTTAAAATACTTCTTCAGTTAAATTTCCTATCAGAAAAGGTTCTCCATTTAAAAATTAGAGTAAAATCTCTGGTTGAAAACTTGCGTACAGAAAAAAATCATCTTTGTAAAACCATAACCGTCTTCACTCCACTTCAGATCTAAAACAAAATCAATAACAATGATCTCATTTTTCCTACGTTTTTCTTCAGTCAATAAAATGGCACAGATGATAAAATACCCACTCAAAATGTTGACATAATTTTCTATCACAAAATGTGTTGCTTTTAAAATTTAGACTAAGATTTCTGGTAAAATATGAACATCGTAAAAATTTAAAATAGTAAAACTATAACACCGTTAATATTTGTTAGTATTTCTTATTGTGCGTATTTTTTGATTTTACTCGATTTTTATGGAAACCGCTTGGAAAATCTAAAAGGACTACACAATATATCAACTAGTATAAAATTCAACAAAAAAAAGTATCTATTGTTATATTTAGTTTGGAGCACGATTTTCGGCAGAAGTTGTAGACATTTGCAAAAAAAAAAGAACTGACACTGTTGTAAGGCTTGTAGTTGGGAAGGTTGGCTATATAAAGTTATTTAATTTATACCTAGAACCAACAATATACCATTGCTAACATAAAATACTTCGGAAAGAATTTTGGTTATATTTTTTTTTGGAAGATCGTAATATTTATGATGTTCATTTTAATTTTGAAACTCGTATAAAAAAATAATAATAATAATACTACATTACACATTTTGTCAAATTGTCAAAAATTTCTGTTCAGTCTAAAAAATTGTATCCACAGCGTACCTATCAAATAAAAACGAAGTAAAAAAAACTTTAAAAGTTTAGTTTCTTTAAATAGCTCAAATGTTTTGAAAATTGTATCACGTCTAGAAAAAGTAAATATAAATTTTCTATCAAAATTTCTAGTCAATATGGATATGTTGAACTATATAACATTAATAAACCAAAGTTTGTGTACGAAGTCTTATTGTTTATTTGGTTTTAAAATTGAATTTTAGTATATATTCCCTCCCCTTTCGTTTAAAAAAGAGAAATCAGGAATAAACGTAAATGTAAAAACGAATATTTGAGATTTATGAACAAATATATATTTAAAATGTAGCTTTGGATGTTTAGCGGACGTCTATTATTCAAATTATTTCAGAAAATCCACAAGTTTTACGGGGTGTGAGTCTCGGTGGTTTTTTTAATTTTATTTATGAGGTTT